GGTAATGTTGTATGATTTTTAGACGGTTTGAACTTAATTACAATTACCATTCTTAATTACACTTTTACTATGTAATAAAAATCATTTTCAATTTGTAACTGTGCAGTGACTTTGATGGATATTGCTCTATATGTGCAGCAGTCAATAGATAGTTGCTCAGTGATGCGGTGCGTTTACTACATTTTTGTTGTAAAATTGTGATAATATATACATGTTAATGTTACAGTGTGTTAATTTTTGTAATTGATTTTCTATGTAATTGTTTATCTATGTAATGTATCGTTTGACAAATTATTGAAAAGCGACGCTCCATAGTCATAGTAGTATCATACACTAGAAAAGGGGAATTATCATTTAATCTACAAAATAAACATGTAAATTATTTTTTATTTAACACATATCATTAAAGTGTATGGTTGTAAAGCAAGATACGCTTTTCTTTTTACCGTCGTACTGTTTACCGGTATTAGAGATTGCACGGTACGTTATGCGACATTAGAACCGAAATAGTCATATACAGTGCTTTCCTGTAACGAGTGTTACATAGGCTGTGGAATGAGTTATCTGTCGACGTGTTCCCAATAAATTGTCTTTCTTTATTATGTATAAAAAAAGGTATCATATACATAATAGAAATTTTTGAAATTGTTTAGTCAGCTATTTGATTTTGTGACGAATTGTAACGAATTTCATTAAAACAATTTCATTAATTAAATACGTATACTATGTTTGCAGTACACACCCTTTCAGGTTAATCATATAGCAATAAATGTAGAGTACGGGCAATAAAATAAAGCCCGTTACACACCCCGGCGTGCGTGCGAGGCGAGACAATAAACAAGGCCATACATCACCTGAGAACATAGCTCAAAGTTATTTAATTATCGTAAGGAAAAACTAATCCGTGGCACGGCGGGCGAAAATTACGCTCTGTCCTCGCGACAGTCGACAGGTGCGTATGTTCACGTATTCTTGCGTACGTGATTCACAGTATGTTCCATTTTGTTTTTAATTTAATTATGTTAAATAATTTTATGTTATTGATAATTTTATTGTGCTTTAAATAATATGTATATTTAAAAATTACTTTATTAATAAAATAAATTATGTATGTTTTGAAGTTACTATCATAACGTTAACATAATAACGTATACAGTTACTTTTTATAAAAATAATATTTTGATCATATTTATAAAAAGATCTGCTTCGAAGTGAAGTCAACTATAATATTGTTAATATATTTTTTATTTTTATTATGAGTGTTTTTTATACACTTTTAAGTTGTCAGATTCATTGTAATTTTATATTATATGACTCTTTTTATATTATTCATTCTTAATAAGGAATAATATTCTAAAAATAAATAAATGAAATATGTAAACATATTATAAATTAATTTGTATATACATAACAGCAACCTGTACATTGTGTCATTCTTCAATAGAGTCTACGGGCGGCACGGAGCTGTCGCTCGCGACAATATTTATGCGCGCAATATTAAGTCGGCACCAGTATCACCCATACAATGTTAACGAACATACCACATATGTATTTATATATTTACACTAATTAATATACTTGCCACTTGTAAAGAAGACCGATGCCTATCGCCCTCATGCTCTCGGACAAGTCGCTAACGGTTTCGGTAATGTTTGACATTTGAAGAAGTTATTAAAGTAATTATTTTAATCAGACGCAGGTGTTGATAATCGGGAATCTATTAAGTTTCATGATAAACAGTGCTTTTATATTAAGTACGAACCCGTCTTTTATAGGTAACTTGAGTAAGGTCAGAGATTAAAGATCGCTATTTCCCCATTCTAATATAAATTATATTAATTTGTTGTATCTTTATCATTTAATTTATCCAAAACTCTTTTTCTCCCATATGTCAAAAGTAAATAAAGAATGTAAAGATATTCGGGGACAGATGCACAAGTGATACAGAGATAAGATTTTGTGCCTTGTCTTTCACTGACATGACTTTCACTGTATCCTAAAAATAGAATTTTAACCCGAACCATAATTTTTTTTCAATTAATTCTAATATATGTTTTCATGTAACAATGAAGTTAGCCTAAAAATGATTGTCACAGGAGGTATTCTCATCTTTATAAATACTTATATTATTTAGATTAGAAATTTAGATTACAACTAGAAATCAGAGAAAATAATAAAATAGTCTAAGACACAGAAATATATTTTTTTAATTAATAATAGACGACGGTAGTCTCCTTTTTGGCCTTTTGGCCATAACCCGAATTGGAATATATTTATTGACAAATAAAGAGATTGTAGACATTGTTTTTTTATTTAAAACCGAAATTTAAAGGAAGAATAAATCAGCTATTACTTAGACATTTTCGTAGTATCTTCTGGATAATAGACTCGTCGGATGCCATACATGTCAGAAGCATTTGCGTGTTAGGTATGGACACAGTTTATATTTAGTCATCATACGAGTATTTTGGGCGTCATTCTAACACAATGTAGTACCTAGTTTAATTTTCTGCCCTCTCTGCAGAATAATGTTAAAATGATATACAAAAAAAAAATGCAAAAAATAGTTAATTTATCATAATAAAACTAATATGGAAATACAACACAGGTGTAACCCTTATAGAATGCCAAAATGAATTTTAAAAATTGATTCAGAATTTATTATTAATGAAATACCGGCAAATCCATGATTTCCTTATTCCTTCTTTTTATGTTATCAAAAACAATGCATCATGCACATAAAAAGATTGAAATAAATAAAAATAAGTGTTTGATATAGTTATAGGGAATATCCGTTGATTTGTTAATTAGATATGCTTATAGAACCTATAGGTACATATACATCTGTATATATAGGTAATAATATAAAAAGGTTTGGTTTTTAAGGGTTTAAGCCAGTTTCAACATTAATTTTAAATGTAAACCAACCATAGAAGTCTATCAGAAATGTATTTGAGAAGTATACGACATGTAAGGGTCAATGATTGCATGATGTCCGAAATCAGAAAGGGACGTCACCGCGCCAGTGAACGGACGCCCTTAGGGCAAATATAAAATCATTCATATGGACAAAATAAAATTGCATCCCAAATAACTCGGTGCTCATCGGCCGAAAATCTATTAGCAATAAATATGAAGTTTTCCGATTTCACAGGATTTAAAATGGCGATCGAGCGCAAGGGAAATCCAATATAAAACTGGGGAGTTCTTATGATCTTTCTGTTTTACGACATTGTAGTTTTATTGCTTTTGACGATTAATTGTTTGGCGTTATTAGAAGTTAGATAAAAACAACTGTCAGAATACAAATTTTGATTCAAATTGAGTATCCTCATTTTACAACCCATTAACGCCACACCGTTGACTACAGTTCTCTATTCATAAAGGGAGAATGATAATAATAAATTACGATATTATTTCTCAAGTTTCCTTATTCTATATATTGTGTTATTCTATGTCATCTTAATGACCTCCTATATTAATTGGACAAAGAATACAGGGTATCCTATATCCTTACCAATGTTATAAATGTGAAAGAAAGTACATTTGTTACTTTACAGCACTTTAACAGCTTACCATCAATTAAACAGTATGAAATTTGGTACACATGTACTATATGGGGTTGAATAGGATATAGGCTAATCTTTATTCCAGTTAGTAAACACATTAACCAGCCAATGAACATCTGGGAGCACCCAAACTCGAGTCAATTTAGAGAAGTTCGTTTCTTAAATTGGGCCGACAGAGAATCGAACCTGGACCTCATTGCGCAAAGCAGTGTGCTGACTGCTGCACCAATGAGTTCGTACATACATAGTACGTACATAGTGTATATATTTATTAATATTATAGTAATATTATATATTTTATAGCAATATTTATATTGGTTTTAATTTTAACTTCTGATAATATCGTGCATATAACTCGTAAAGCTATGATCGATGCCTTTATGTGACACCAGAGGGCGCTAACCTCTTATAATTATTATGATAAAAATTTTGTCCAAAAGTTGTATGCATGTTCATATAATTCTGTTTCACTTGTATTGTGTCGCTAAGAAGTTGAGCTCTTCCAACTGAACAGCCTGTATTACAGTTTGAAGAGAGGCATTGATAGAGAAATTACAAGATACGGAGGCATAACACCTCAGTCTTTAATTATGGCGACAAATAAGGGTGCTATGAGCATCACAGTCTATTTGGGATGTCCATGATTCTATTCATGTTTATAAACGACGGATACAATTTTCCATCAGGTAAGCCGTCAGCTTGTTAGTCACTTGTTCATAAAAGAATATGATTTCGTAGTATCGTATTATTTATAGTAAAAGTCTAAACAAATAGCATTGATCTGGTTGCTTTGTATACGTTTAGTGGCAGTACTAGCTGCCTGAATTTCATCATTGTACATCCTATTATAAGCTAAAGTTCCGTACCAACTATCTGTATGAGTGACGGTCTTTCACCATGCATTTCTGTAGAAACTCTTAACCCCGCATAACCAAAATATGAAACCAACTCTAAGCAGTATTTCGGAAAAGATACGACATTCGAACCTTTAAGAAATAGCATATTCTTTCCATAAGAAGCCAACAACATACCTGCAATTTCCTGACGTTGCAGGTACCTACGAGTATGTGAGGCCGTAATCACTTACTATTAGGTGAGATGCATGTTCGTTTACCCCCTATGTTTATAGAAAAACATTTTTTGGGCTACAAATATCTTTATATCAGATTGTATCATCGCCGTATGACTCGGGGCTGGTAGTAATGGACCATGTTTAGATTTCATACATAATCACTGGCAACATGTATTCGTTAAAGACTTTAACAGAATTTTAAACGAACACATCTTATTTGATCGAATCACCGGAACATGAGACAGTTTATCAATCCGTTACACTACCGAATTTGTCAATTTGATCTAAGAATATAAATTTATTAGGATTATTTTGGGTTGCAGGGATTCTATCATATTTAGTTAAACAGAAACACAAAATGATAATTTTCACTTTTAATCTCGATATTTTCATCTACGATACAAGGCACACACACAATTTTAAGTAAATTAATAGTAATTATAATCGAAATAATAAATAATAATACTTGCTTTCAAGATTGCGAACTATAATAAAATCATAATAAATATAGATACAACGAGAAGCCTCGGCTGACAAACGTAATTATATCTACTAAAGACAATGCTGAGTTTGATGGTCACTGGGATTAAGTATACTTTGTAGGTCAAATGCCCACTTATCAGTATTGCCAAAAGATATTGCAAAGAAAAAATGTAAATGATACAAAAAGTACCACATTCACGCTTTTTACACAATCACACATGTTCAGCTAAACATTTATATTAACAACTAAATTTATTCATTACGTCACATTACCCATTAAATAATGTGAATTTGATTGTATAAAGCGAACGTTACGATCGGCGCTAGACTATTACGCTCTTCATTCGTTACATGACCTCAATTGACTTTTGTATCGTTCAACAATAATATGCTTACACATTTGCTATAAATTCCAAGATATTTATGGCTAAAACAATGTGTGTGTCTGTGTTACTTGCAATATTTTAATAGCCAAGCGCCAATATTACGCCAAATACAATTTCTAAATCTTACGTTAACTATTTTAGACATTCAAAGTCGTTCCGTAAACTAAGCATCAATATAAATAACACTATTTTATACTTTATTATTATGTATATGTTTAAAACTAATCCACTTATCGCAAGGACACTACCCATACACATCGATTCTGCGTTATGGATATGAAGTACGCATTTATAATTATTTACACAGCATCTACGTAATGAAATTTAAAGAAAACACTTAGTTTACATTGTACATTGCAAAACTGTTTATCTGTGTTCAGTCAATAAAATTTAATTGTAAAAATGTATAATTTTGAAACCACTAACTTAACTATCGTACATTCTTATTCTTTATGAGATACACTAGTTCCTACCATTAGTTATATCTACTCATTGCACTAATTTGAATAAATTACATGACAGTGAAAATCACCGCAGTATAATTAAACGATTTATATATACAATTACTTGAACAGTGAAATAAGTGTACCTACTTATTTGCAGTTTAACCGACACTATGAAAACATTTCGTGATACCAGTACAATTCGTTTGCACTATCTTGGATTTTGGAAAACATCTCAAAAAGTGAGTCTTTTATCAATTCCAATAAATTCTCTATTAAAATTTGTTTAAAAAGATGCTGATATGTGTGTAGGTACAAAATATGAATTATCAAGGAACGCTAATAACATTATACATTTACAAAAAGTAAACAATATCGATGCTTAATACATAAATATGGCATTTAATGATAAGATTTAAAGGTACTTTCATAAAATATTAAAATGTTGACATATTAAATAACGCGAATCGCCGATATAACCGTACTGACTTAATTAATAATTATAGGAATATTTACAAATTTCACTATGGAAGAAGAGTCAATGAGACTTCGCCATACGCCACGAAATCTACGTACTTCGATATATTGTTAACAATATTTACAAATTAATCTCAATAAGGGAAATACAATTTCATTGAGATCCGTAACGCCAAAAAATAGATTAAACAAGAGTGAACAATTTACATGAACGAGAATGTGAGCACTTCTCTTTAGAAATCTGCAAGAATTCGAGATTTCCAATTTTCGATCCGCATCGAATCTTTGGGTTTCATTTTTCCCTAAACTCAGGTTTCACGCTGATTATAGGTTTTCTCATTTCGTCGACTTCTTTATCATATTCTTGGCTTTCGGGGAAGTCGTTTGCCCCGTTGTTTGGTAGCTAAGTAGCAGAGCTGAAGAGCACCGAGTTCTTGTAATAGCCGGCGCGTTCGGACAAGGGACTTTTGACGTCTCGTTCCATCGCTTGCTGACGCGACTTGCGTTCCATCTCCAATTCCTGCGCTAATGACTCTGTTGACAAAGAAAATATCTAAAATTAGTATTTTCATTGAAAAATGAAATAATCATGGTGACAGTACGTCATTTTATCTAGACTGTAATAATCGTTAGCATTATAAATCTAAAGTAGTTCATTGCAGGATATTTCCAATGGTGCATCAGTCACTACGGTATTATGCTTTACGATCTCAAAGTCATTATTCTGTATTATTTCCCAAAATAACTAATAATTAAATTGTTCAAATTGACAGAGTCGAAGTACAAGTGTGCCGTCCCGGAAAATGTCATTAGTGTGTCGGGTAAAGGCAGAGGCAACTCACATCAAACGGACTTCACATCCGTATGGCACTTTCTAATTTAATATCCTATATTCCCTGTCGGTAAAAACGTACCACTCGCAATATAGCGCGAGTTTATTAAATTGCTTCGAGAAGGGTTGTTATACTCCGACTTACATCATTGTAATACGAAATAATTAAAATAAGGCATCATATGAGAACATTGATTGCTAAATTGTATTTGTAACTAAGTAATTATAATTCAATTACGGTTTGCAACATGTGCAATTTTAAAATGATTAAGAAGATGTATTTTTTATTTGTTGGTAAACTGCTTTGAAACAATATTTACAAATTAAGATAACAATGTTGCATATAAAAATCAGAATACATTTCAAGCACAGAAGAATCTCTAATAAGATTTTAAGAAAATTGACAAAGTTCGTGAAGGGGCAAGAGTAGGTGAGGTAAGGCAATTGTCTCCCAAAACGTCGACGTTTTACGAAATATGCTTATTCAATTTCATGCAACGCTTGCCTCCTCCTGCAATTTACGAGATATAAAAGATATAAACGGAATCGCGTTTTTTTGCTTACTTTGATGGAACATTTTCTCAACGGAGAATTCAATTTCTTTTCTCGACATTCATTTATAATTTATGCTGTGTGAGTGTTCAAATTTATGTCATTTTCTCAAATAAATCAATTAAAATTTTAATATAATTAATGAAAATGTAATCCTCAATAATGTAAGTCAACTGTTTAAAGTCACTATTTAAAATAAAAACAATCAGATAAAAAACCCAATTATAATCCGATTTGTTTCAGTTGAGACTTGCTGCAGGGCATCACACTCACAAGTGTCGCCGTTGAGGGTTGTCCCGAAACAGAAACCTATTATCCCGGGCGAGATTATACGCCTAGGGCGTCACAATTAAATATTATACACTTAAAAGCTTCGGCCTTTGCCGTTTCACTTCAGTGCCACCCCTAAATGTCCCATTAGGTCTGTTTGAATACGTAATATTTTTGCATTTGCCGCTTCTAAAACAGAATTGCCGGTTCCTTTGAGAGCCATAATCTATTTGTTCTTTGAAATAACTATAATGGTCGGGCGCTTGGCTTAATAAAAAAAATTACATTTATTTTCGTTTTATCTTCTTTTCTATATTTAAATACTCAATTACAATGATGTCAAAAGCGAAGTTATTAGAATCCATTTTAAATTCAGAAGTATCTTGTTGATATCTTGTAATAATAATGATTGCTTTCACTGAGATCTCAGAGCTGGAATTACATAAAAACATTCGTAAAAACAATTTCTATTTCATTACAAACGAATGGGTTAGCAGCAGTGACAAAAAAAGGACACTACGATGTGGACGTGAGTCGATTTATTTGAGACGAAACAAAACTAAAACCACGTCTACTAAAATATCTATTACAAGTTGTGCTGCATTGACAAGGAAACAGTTGTTTTTAACCGATTTCGAAAACAAGAAACTTATCAATTTGTCTATATTTTTGTATATATGTGTCGCAATACCTTCGCCAAAAAACTATAAATTGATTATTTAAATAAAAACTAGTTTATCCTCGTGTTAATCTTACTAATATTGTTAAGATTAAAAATAGTGTAGGTCAAAAATAACTTTACCTTCAATTATTACTTGCATATGAGCAATAAGTTATTTCATTAATAATAAGTTATTAATTAAACAATATGTTATTACTTGAAATAAAACTTTTAATATGGCTTTAGTCAGCAAGTTTTATTTATTTAACTGGACGTATACTTTTTATTGCACAATTGAATTAATTGTTGCTACGTTTTATAACAATGTTCTTATAACGTTGATAACGTAATATAAGTTGAACGATTTATATATTTTTTATCAATATAGATAAACAAAATATAAGTAATTTACAAGTTAATGCTACTTTTTTAAAATAAAAAAAGACCAAATCAAAAGTAGTGATCGATTAATTTGTAGAGAAACGAATCGATTTTCTTATCAAACAGAGGCCAAGCAAGAAATTACTATTCTCTGATACTAGGTTATTTTTAGATCAAATTGTTTCTCTCACTATAAAAACTTATTGTGACTAGAGAAAGGCATAATGACATTTTCTTGCTAGATAACAATTTTCCTTCGATAAAAACTTATAATTTTGATACTCAATACCTCTGTTGGAATAATAGAAAGTACTGCTCATTATTTTTTAACGATTTTTGACGCAATCGACACCTCTTTGGTTGTTAACGCGAAATTAATTACTGCCATTAAAAGTGTACCCACAGAAAAAAAAATGGGATAATTAATTCTTCGAATGGGAATTTGAGAAGGTTGTGTATTGGGGTGGTTTTATATACCGTTTTACTAAGGCTTTTGAACTAAAATATAATATTACCTATAGCGAAATAAGATTTGTATTATGTGCAATTTATTTGCATTTGACAAGAGTAAATCGCCTATATAATTGTAGCATAAATTAATTAAAAAATTGAATAAGTTTCTTTGTAATACTTACTTATTAAACTCGAGTACTTTTTCAATTGATTGTAGCAATATTATTTTGTAGTTTAATTATTAAAATTAAATTTCAGTTTTTTTTTATAATTATGATTTATAACAAGCATCCTAAGCTACAAATACCTATATTAAGCTCCAAATGCTTAATATAGGTATTTGTAGCTTAGTATGCTAACCTATAGCTTACATTAAATTTATATAAATAATAATAAACTAGTAATAGTATCATACATATCATTACTAATAATGAGCAATAAACATTTTAACCCATTACTCACTGAGTTATTATAAAATAAATATGAAAACTGCTAAATGGCTACTAGCTTATCTATAAATAATATAAAAAATCGTCTGCATCTGTCTATTTCATCACTTATTTTGTTTAAACCATGTATCTAACGGCTATAATTTTTTTTTAAGAAATGTTTAAATATGTAATTCATATCCATGTGAAAATAAGACATGGTATTTATAATTAACTTGCGATTTGGTTCAGTTTCGCACGAGTAGATAGAATTTTCGAAAATATTATACAGCCAGTGAATGTAGTTTTCTATAGGTGTAAGAATTTTCAAAATCGGTTGAATAGTTTTGAATTTTTCTATTACAAACAAACAACCAAATCTTTATAATATTGGTATAGACTAGTATAGACTCCTTTATTCATAAGAACGTCAAATCTCTCATAAACCTATTTTAACTACTGAATTTTTAATTTGAAAGAAAGCAATAAAACTTCAATAACCAAAATAGGTATTTAGGAGGTTTAAATTTTTATGAATAAGGGGCAATTATAAAATAAAATAAATAATTAATATTTACACAACACAAATAATTGCATCGTTTTAAATAATAATTTTGTTTTTAGTATAATAAATATTTACTTCTACAAATATTCTCCAGCTTGTTTTGATGGCATTCTAAAATGGAAGATCGTAATGGGAACTATGGCAGGTAAGGTGAGGCGAAACCTCCGATTTTCTGACAATAGAACTCGAACAAACGTATTGTGGTTGGGATAAGGTGCTACTGTTGCGACTCTATTCAACCGTGTCCGATCTTACAGATGGGATTGATTTTCTATTATAGAAATTCTTTTGACGTTTTTTTTTAACAATCAATTTGTTCGTGACTTGGATATATTTAGTTCCAATGGCTAAGGTTAAGTAAAATTGAGACAATTATAATTAAAACATGACATTTTGTTAGATTTAAGATCTATTAACACAATGTACATACACATCTTTGGTAAAAGAGAACATTAAGTACTTAAGTGTTACATAATTAGTCCATATTATTATTTATAACTTCTCATATTGTAATTAAGTAAGTTTTTGTAAAAATTGTATTCAAGAAATACCAGTATAATTTTTTTTTCAAACTGAATAACATCAGGTGTACCCTAAAATAGCGTATTAAAGATATAAATTGAAACAAAAAAATATGTACGTTTCAAATTTAATATTTACTTAATTATATGCATGTATCTATTAATAGTATAAAAAATTACTTTATGAGTAAAAATGCTACAGACTATCTATGTGTACAATGGTGCACTGTATTACTTCAATATAAACAAAAAAAAGTTAATATCGTCAAAGGTTTCAAGCGCACCTGTGCGGTACAATTTTATTTCCATTCATTTTACAAGCTCACCTAAAAAGTATCTTGGAGAAGTTTCCTCTTTATTAATTTTTCAACTTTATATTACTTATGTAACATCGGTTGGTTTATCCGTCTCCATGGTGCCTTAAAATGATATAATATTGGTGAATGTTTTTTTTTTTTTTTAATATTAAGACGTATTTAATAAATCAAGTTATGTTAAAATAATGACAATAATAAAGTAGTTCATTTGTATTTTCTATCACTTAATAGCACTTAGCTGCGAGATTCCGGGATAAAATAGGCTACCGCTTCCATTCCCATGGGTGTCGTAAAAAGCGACTAAGGGAGTTTAAGGGTCAAGGGATGGAGAGCAGCATCTCTCTTTTAACACCTCCAAAGTTTAATTGCGGTTGCCAACCCGCCTGCCAAGAGTGGCAACTACTGGAAAAAGCCCCTTTATGGGGAAGGTCTATGTTCAGCAGTGGACAGTTAATGGCTGACATGATGATGATGATGAACGGCACTTAATGATTATAAATTTATTAAATTACTATATGCAGATGGTTCATGACAGTTCCTTGTGGCATTCAGTGACCCAGCTTATTTTCAGTAGTAGATAATAGATGGAGGAAATGGTGATGAAAATGATCAAGTACCTATATTTAAAACCGAATTTATATTATGAAATTAATTTCAGAGAAAAGAATTCAGATGTAACTAGATAGGTATGTAATGTAAAATAATTTCGAGAATATATCAGAACGTGTGGAACAGTTAGTATCAAAGCCCTCGCGATACTAGTTTGAGGTAAATTTTTCGCTATTAAATTAGTTGCGTGAAATTACTTTTATTAAAAACTCCAGCAGTGCCTCAGTTATTGGCTTAATATTTGATAGACGTCTCATTTAATTTCTCTTTTCTATATTAATATTTGACTCTGTCTCTTTTCTTAAAAATACGCAGAAGTTTTCTAATTTACGAATAATATTTTTTTTTCTTTTATCGTCAGCACCGAGGAAACTTGATGAAAGGAAAAACTTTTAATTTTTGTTTATCTGTTACCAACCTTGTTATGTTTACAACCCTCTTTTACGTTTCATATTTACGGTGCCATAATATTTAGGATTCTTTATAAAGATAGAAAAATCGAACCATTTAATACCGAAGTTTTTCGATATGTGCCTATTTTACCAATAACTTTTCTTAGAAATTTTAATATCAACAATAATTGACGAATGCTCTTTAGCTGATGTCGTAGAACGAGTATAATTTTGGAGTCTCAAACTAATTGTTTAAATATTCAAAATTCAGGTTGCTCAGCAAATTACACCGACCCCAAGTCATGACAAAAACAAGAAAACAAAATCATGGGGAAAACGGTGTCGATGATGACGATTTATATTTTTAATGCTTATTGACGAGAAATAATTGAAATTGCTATTTAGATATTCCTATTTGTTCGTTTTAAGACGATATAAAATCAACGGCAATGGTTTTAATACAAGATAATTTTTTTCTAAATTTTGGAAACTTTAGAAGATAAATATTACTATCAATTTCAACTTTTTTATTAGCTACATCAAATCAATTTCCGTTCTATCATTCTGTTATTTTTTATTTATTCTACCATTGTGTGTATGTTGTTATTTGTAATGTCGGTCAGTTAGAGCCGAAATTGTGAATATACGTTACGAACAATCTTTGTTTGCGTGCTCGCGTGCGTTTAGATACTTGGGGTAGCGCAACGTTTAAATTAGTTGCAATTTACAATTTCTACTTGAAAAGCCAAACGTCGTCAGACGCCACTAGTCAGCAAAATTATTATATTCGTATTATACTTTAAATTGATTATGTCTTTTCTACCTACAGAATAAAAAAAAAAACGTATAACACAGAGTTCACCTTGTTATTTTAAGTCGATTTGCTAGATACACATATTTTTAAATTATAAGTAATTGCACTACTCCAGTTGAGTTCAGACAAGTCCATCCATATAGGGAGGCATGTCTCTACTCGACAAGTTGATGCACGGTGAATCAATATAAGTCATAGTATACAGCACCGCATGCTCGCCAGTGTATTTTAATGAAATTACTGGGCTTTCCACAAAGCGGATATGAACGGAAAAAAGGCACAGTTTGATTCACCGACATTCATGTATGTGCACATTGTCTAAAAGTTCATAAAGTCCATTGCATTCGATTTTTTGAAATGAAATTTCGTTGCGGTCATATTGTGAGAATATTATTTATGAGTTTAAATACGTAACGTATTAATAAATGTACCTATAAATATGACTAAATAAATGCCATATTCTCATGAACGTCTGGTTTTCAAATTAGTGGAGTTCGTTTGCAAAAATTGAATCTGGAATCTTATTTAAACACTGCAATGTATATTCATTCCTTCATTTCTCCCTCTCTATATCGATGTGATAGGCAAAGGCGTGTGCCAAGCAAAGTGATAGGTATTTTGTGTTATATCAATTTGTATAATAACCTTTTTTATTGTTTTCAGACTAAGAAGAGTCGTGACCATATTTATTTAGTATTATTAAGAATTAAATATTTATGCTATTCAAGATATAACCTTCCAACAAAGTTCTTATTTAAACTCCATAATCTATTGAAATCTAAATTTCTATTGAAAGAGGGTTTTATCTGTACGTAATATCGCCGCAATAGATCACAATACAAACGTTTATCTGTCGAATCGTTTATTCCGAGCTTTTAAATAGTACGAATTCTTCATATGAAACGGTATGCAATATGACGAATATAAATTTCGTACGTCAAAATTTTTCATATGTGGGGGCCCTTCTGCATATTTTATTATTTCGAATAAACATCTTTTTCTAATATTCGAAACGAATGCTTAAACTGTTTTAGTATTTATAGAATATTTACTATAAAATTAGATTCTCATAATATATTTTATATACTTGGTACAATTAGTAAAAAAATATTTAAAAAAATTGTAAACGCACAAAATAAATAGCTAAATTAAAAAGGATTTTTATTAATTGGTTATATGTTATAATATTACTTTTTTGTTTTATTTTTAAATTACTAAATTTGAATCCAACTAATAAATCGAAAAATTCTAGAAAGAATGCGTGCATGCTATGTTAGCCTCCAATATTCGAAGGTATATGGCATGTCAAGTATTAAATCTATTTTTTTTGTGATCAGGGTTTGCTGTAACAAAAATAACAACAGTAACGTCAACATGCCTTTGACTATAACTCCTATGGTATGTAATGGTGAGCATATTTTTTCCGTATTCACCAAATTTTATTGAAAGATCGGCGGATACTTCAATATCGATAGGAGAAATATGTAAATAATGTAACTTATAATTAGCGTGAACAGTAAGATCAACCTGGAAACCATTGTGGTTACTTCTTGGTAAATTCGTCATGGTACGCCAACTTTTTTTACTTCATTCTCACCTATCATCCCTCTCTGGTTTAGCATGGCGAAGTATTAACCCCACCAGAATTAACCAATTGCGCACATTTACATTCCATTTTCATCTATTAGTATATAATCTAGAATTTTAAATTCTGTGTTGATTGTAAACTCACCAGAATAGTTTTGCCAGAACGCAGCACCTCCACTCATGATGTCCACGGGCGGTGGGGGGTAGTTCCATTGTGGTTTGTCGGGCGTGCGAGGGGGGTCCCGCTGGAATGGTGGTGAGGAGGCGGGGGGTTCCGCGCTTGGAGGTTTGCTCTCCGAGCCGTTCTCGCGTTCCGAACGCGGCGTCTCTTGTGATGAAGGCGTTAGGTTTTCTACAAAAATGTTTTTACGTTAAAAAATTGACTAGATTTAAATATAAAAGTTTAATGAAGTCGATCATAAAAAATACTTTTGGTGTCTTGTCGTATAAATAGTATTTGCTAGTACAGTTTATTAGCCAATTAAATACACTGCTATTAAATGTTGTAGAGAAGAACGATTATGCAAGAAATTGAACACGAATGCGTGTTACTTCAGCACCCGAGCCCCCATTTCAAATGGTCTGCGAAACGATTTCCTGACACGGAGATTAGTACAAGCCTTCACCAGCGTTTATCCACCCTTCTTACGTCACGCACTCCACATGAACTTGGCGTCTAGTAAAGTTACATATCACCCTCATCAGAAATCAAAAAGGAATCCTAAACAGATTACTTAGAGTTGAACTTTGTCTGTATCGATTACGGGATTTACTGAGTTTGCTCGTGAAGTTTCAGTCAATATACAGATAGTTTGACAGACGGCAAGTTAACATGTCAGGGGCACATACACTTTATGTTAGAACTTGTTGAATAGTCTGAGAGTGATGGCATTGACAATTTAGACATGTTCAGGTAAAAGGTTACGTTTAATTTAGATATGGTCACATTCAGGTGAAATTAACCTCATGGAAATTAATATAAATTTTAAAATACAAACTTACGAATAGATATATATTTATAAGACTAGCCGTTTCCCGCGGCGTTGTCCGCTTCTAACTACGAGTATGTAGTTCCCGTATATCATTACCATTGGAACTCGTCATGAATTCGGTCTATATTGTATTATATACTTAAATGATAATTAGGTACCTAATACCTTCATAAAGTTTCAGCCAATTCAACTGACCGATTATTTTATAGCATTTCATATGTCATTCTTTAGATTGATACAACTTTTTTATTTATGTAGTGTTTAATGTTAAGTAGAGCAAACCGCAACGCATTAGTAAAAACCAATTTTTTTTTTTTATATATAACGGAGAATGGCAAAAACAAGCTGACGGCCCACCTGATGGAAAGTGGTAACCGTCTCCTATAGACATGACCATGGAAATAACAGAGTATACTGTTTCGCCCATGATACCCCCATGCGTTGCCATTCCTGAGGACTCAGGTGTTATTCCTCTGTACCCAGTAAATTCACGCCATATCCCACCCTTCAAACCGAAACACAGCCATGCAAACAACAACTGAGATTAGCGTGCATAAACGTACAGACAAACAAAGTAAAATTCTAAAAATCATTGTTTTGGGTTCTATTGCGTTCATAAAGATTCTTACATATCTTCTATGTACTGACAATTATCAGTTACGATTTTATTATATGTATTGATTGATTATTTGTTTTTTTTTTTATTTTGAAATAGCAATCAAGTCGACATGATAGTACATTTGATAGCTATCTCCTGTAGATATCACCACATATAACAGAACACACTGTACTGTTCAAGTATTTTTCACACATTTTAATTATCTTAATAAATTAAAATACTATTTTTTTTATTGCATTTACGATCTACAATTGATATTAGACGAATACAAACCAGTAACAATTCTGAGTAATTCTGATGGTGCTCCAGATTGCTTGAGGGCTTCTTCGATCTTCTGTCGTCTTTTCAATTCCATCTCGAGCTGTTCTTGAATATGTTGGCGCTGTTTTCTCTCCTTCTTTAGTCGTTTTTGGTACATTACTGTGAACAAAATGAGATATAACTTAGCATTAAAATGAAAATTATTACAATTAATAATGTAATGTACCTTAAACCACATGAGTAAAGAACATTAAGAAATTTATTTTTATGCCTAAACCTACTTCTAAGCTTTCCAATAAGAGCGATCATAAATATTTATAGGATTTCGCAAAATTATTCTCGGTTGTACCGTATCGAAACAACAATTAGGTACTTCGGATACCGCACGCAGGCACAATAAAACTGAGTAAACGGTCGTGCACATGCGTCGTGCGCCATACTTCTCCAAATGAATGTATACGCATAAATACGTCGAGATCAAACCTGAAAATTGCTTATAGCCTGTCTCTTTCACTCTCATGACAAATGTCTTTTCTTTATCTGAAAACAATCTCATAATACGGCCAGGGATCTCCTTGATTCGCCTACAGTTACCACCTTTGGTTTGGCATTTCTTTGTCGATAATCGCCCGATAGTCCACCTTGGTTTTTTCTCTTTCTTGCATATAGATTTATAATATTTCCATCTTTTTTACTCTGAGGTTCGATTGACGAATGATTGAGTCGATGCACGTGTTGATAGACGGGTCCTGCCTCCGACAAGGCGGGGGCGGAACAGATACGGGATTAAGGCATAAGCTACAGGGTCATATCAATATATTGAATATAATGAAAATATATTTTTTAATAATTTTTCGTCATAGATTTATGTTCATTACTCGATATAAGTCGACTACGTAGAGTTTTTATTAATGTAATTTATAAAAATTAAAGGCAGCTTTTTGTTTGGTTTTATTTGAACTAGGTATTAATCATATCGCATTAAATAAAACACCTATATACGAATATATTCTCCAGTTTAAAACAATATATACGTAATTTATGTAATTCTACGTCTACGTCTACGGATAACTGTCTACATAAGTAAATTAATTTGATACAAAAAGGGCTCATTATGTTATCGCTGCGTCCTATGACTTGAACCGTGGAATAAAATACGAGATCTGTTTTGCGATGGTGAAAGACAGAGTTTTGATGGAGTCAGGCTGCGAAACGATGTATCTGCTTCACGGAAACGACATGAATAATAAGTTAAATAAAGATTTAAAAATAGACACAAGGCAAATTACCATCCTGTGCGTCAATAAATATAGGAATCACGTCAAGAACAAACTTGAAGCGACTTTTTTTGCTTAAGACTATTAACTGTGTGAATGATTTGAATATGAATTAGGTATAAAGCATATTTCACTGGCTATTTTTCATTAATTGATCGTTATGATGCATTACCTCCCATTACCACGGAAATCTTATTAGCGCTTATTTACAGTTGTTCTATACACATTTATATGTATATTTATGGCATGATACATTTTTTAGTATTTTAATATTAAATTGAAGCCTTATTTACTTAGAAAATGATTAAAGCTGTAGCTTTAATCATTTTCTTACAGTAAATCTCATATCGACTTATTCTCTGTCGTATTTATTTTAATGGAGTGGAAACGTCTTGGATTTTCGTATACAGACAAGGTCGACGTTCTGTGCAATGGCAAAACAAAGAAATTAAATAAAATTTAAAAGTCTAAGAGAAACGCGAAAAGAAAAATAAGAGGTTGTTTTCTCATTAAAGATTTGCTAGTAATTAATGTTGTTGGTAATGAAACAGGCGAGATTCGCTAGCGTTCGACTCTCGACTCCTACACATCATTTGTCATCGTACGACCTCTGACATAGACTCGTAATGATGTTCAGATCAGAATATCGCGTTTCTGTTTAGATTTGCAATGCTTTTTTAAAACTATTTGTCCATAAATTGGTTCGTATGGATTTTAGTTTAGTTAATTTTAATAAAGTTTAAGTTGAAAAAAAGTACTTTTATCTAATCGAAGATATATTTAGGAGGAGGATCAATTATGTCCTGATGATATATTAAGTTTAATTAGAACCCATTAAGTTGTTCTTGTATAATATATAATTTGTATATCAATTATCTCTCGATTGAAGGTTTTGGGTTTCTCAAAATTTCACTTAAGTCAATATTGGCGTGACATTTCTGATTAATTCTGTAGGATAGTAAACAATATTAAGGAAATAATTAATATGAAATTTGGCACTACCGTGATAAGTCCACTCTCGTTCAGTCACAATATTCACTGAATATTATATAGTTAAGTTGAACGGTATGCTCTACATAACGAGGTCTATAGATAAAATTATTTTTGATTCCCCATCTATTTTTGGAGTTAGGAGAGTGGTTTGAACTTTACTTTTTTATATAAAATTATATGCGGCACCTACATTATTTTATTTAAAAGGACGGTAACATTATTGAAATGTTGTACATGACCGTTCATAATTTCTTTGCTAACAAAATTAGGATGCAAAAGGTCCTTTTTCAGTTAATTTCTCGTCAATACAAAGGTCTGCGTCCAAAGGTCCGTTCAGTGGAAAATTCGTCGGACCATCGAGTCCGAACATTGATTCAGTCCAACACCTCTGGAAAACAGTTTTTCACTCGACTGAAGCTTATTTTTGGACCTTTTCATCCCACCTTTCTTGTCTAGTTAACGTGCAAACCATATTTCAATGTACGCATATTTTAAACTTCCAGGCTTGTATATAGTTATATATACAAGTCTGGAAGTATAGCCTATATTTAATGTGATCCTTATGATCGATGAGACAAATATATATTCATACATTTTCTAGAGTAAGTAGCCAAACCTGTACGTCAATCAAAGTCTTCCCACGTACTATAGAGCGCGCGGCGCGGCGGCAGGAGCGCCAGTCGGCTTTCATTGTTTCTACAAGTCAATATTTGTCGATATCTCGTCGGCGCCGCTTTGTGAACCTTAATCCGGCCTATTGCTTCCTCACTCACAAGTTCATAAGAGACGATGAATCGTAATAAATCTCCAATCGATTATTTAATTCGATTCAATGCAGATGCTGAACAAAAAAATTTTATCGTCTTTTGTTATCCTTATTAAAGCCGGCAATACTTCTGATTTCAAAGCACTTGAACGAACTGATATTATGTTAATCATTCTATTGTTCATTCTAATCCTTCTTCAATATAACTCGTGGAAAGATTATATCAGTTATGGATATATACATATTAAATATTCTTTAGAGTGAATACGATTGAGATAATTAGAACACATAACTACAGTTTAATTATATTTAAATAAATAATTTTAGGATAGGTATAGAATGCATTTACCGATATACGGTGGAAATAAAAACAGTCGCATAGAAACAAGACAACAGAATTAACAGAACGCAACAAAGCGTGTGATATGAAGCGAAACAATTCGATGACCGAGCGTATGAATAAAAACGAACCACCGAAATATTGAAGGAATCCGTTCAAAGGGGAAAAAATGCAATAAAAAGCTGGGTCCGATACAGAATGAGTGTGGTTAAAAAGCAACGAACGAATATGGTTGCGAACATCCGCTGCAGACAAAAGTTGGGCTACTTGGCTATGCAAATTATATTTGCGGACCGCGCGCGGCTGAGACCCGATCTCCGACGTTTCGTTTCACTTTTACGTACATAACGTGTATTCTTTTCATATTTTCATCCGATTTCCTTCCCCTCGTTCATTTCGTTCCGTTTTAAAAAGTCGCGGAACAATGCCGCTTTCCGCGGGGCTTATTCGCCGCGAGCCGTTCTCTTGCACGCGGCTTCTTTTTCTTGTTATTATACCTATCTTTTTATATCTATTGAGTTTTCTTTTCTTTAATACTTTCAACTCATAAATGGTTGATACGGTCCCCTAGGGTTTGTTGCTCGAATAACATGTAAATGAGTCGGTGTACGAGTACAAATTTGAATTTTGTTCTCTATAATACAGTCAACGCGATTTGCAATTTAGATATAATTTGTTTTTTTTTTTTTTCAAATTTTTGATAATTTAATATATATTTCTTTTTCGTTTGTAACCACTATTTAGTGGCGAAGTAAAAAAATCATAACATTTTATATGTATTTTATACTTTTACATTTTAATTATTTGCTTCATAATATCTTCTCAGGCCAGTTCCAGACTTCTGCCACAACAAATATCGATGAATGTCTAAAGATAAATGATTAAAAATTAAAATTACTGTTTTTAGTGCACATAATTAGATGGCTGTTGAGTCTGAACGGGTTTTTGTATAATACATCCTACTAGTTCTGAGAGGTATCATAACTTCAATTATTTGTTTGTGCTTCTATATTAGTGGATACTCACATCATCTCTTTAACAATTTAATATGTTTTTGCTTTATTTTCATTACGTTTATGTTCTCTGTATTCTCGTCATTTAGTCGTGTATGCATGTATATATTTTTATTCTTTTATTTTTATACCAGCACATAGGATAAGTATTATTAGCTGTGTCACGGTTTTGTCTGCCTGAATTAGTATAAAAATACTCTATATATCATTCCAGAATATCATACTTATGTGTAGTAAATTTCATAAGACAATTTTAAATTCATTTAAGTTGAAGCATAAGTATGTAACAAATATCGACTTATCATTAACTATTATATTTATATATATTAGTAGGATTAAGAAGTAACATAATTACAATGTACCTACCATCAATGAGTTCTAATATAGTTTTCCCACTTGTGCAATAGACGTAAATAAGATTCGACTTTTATGACAGCCACTCCCCTTCCATTCGCACCCGAACGATTTAGATAAGTCTTTTTATAGTTCTTTATTGAAAATAAATTGCCTAGAATAAAATCAGACACAGTCGAAATGGCTTTCCGATATGTGTATGAAATAACGTTGGGCAGATAAGATGCGTCGGTTATCAGTATTGACGTATGCTTGGATGAAGCTAGCGGCTCTGATTGGGGAATGACGCGGTCTTTCTTTGACAGAAATGAGTATATTTATTTTTGGAGAGCGGCTATCCCGTACTATCCATAATCAATGCTGGCTGTTTAGTTTCTGAAAGTATGCAAGTGGGAGAGTAATATGTCATATTTGAA